GGACTGTGACAAAGTGACTGTCACACAGAGGTGGTCAATATAAGGAATAGGAGAACCAGACTGATAGAGACACGTGGCACATGCCCGGTATGCTCAGAGGTGGGCAATGGAGGGAGGTGGCAACTGTGGAGTTTCTACTGTATTTGTTTGGAGAATTAATAAACAAGCAAAGGAATGAAGGGGAGTCGACGGACGATCACACGCACCTCAACAACTGCCAGTCCAAAGGCTATTCCAATAACCACAATGATGTGTTTGGCCATTAAGTCTTTTATCAGAGAACTGCATGGCTGTTAAAAAATAAAACATAGAAAGTTACTTTTAATAAAGTTTTGTCCCTATATTAATTATAAATTATACGTTGGGTTGACTTTTTACATTGGTACCAGGAAACTTCTCTCCTTGCTTAACCCTTAGTCCAAAAGGTTGTAACTGTTGTGGTTGGTTCATACATTGAAAAACATTTGGGAGCAAAATTTTGCTCAGCCACCTAATTCATAAATCAAGGGACAGATAATTATACATAATTAAAAAAATTTTTTTTAATTTAATTAACTAAAGAAATGCCCCAACGTATCCCCACATTATAAACTTTATAGTTTATAAAGCTAAAAATTTTATACTTTATAAACTAATAAGTAATAACTTTATCTTAATTTTAGATTATTCATTTTAGAGCTGATATCACCTTGACTATGGCTATTTTTAGGTTTTTAGTCTTAAGCAGAAGGGTCCCTGGTTGAGGTATCTAATTATATTGCAAATGTTCATTTTTAAAACAATGTATTTTCAAAAATCCCCAACTTCAGGGCGGCGCCTGTGACTCAAGGAGTAGGGCGCCGGCTCCATATACTGGGGGTGGTGCATTCAAGCCTGGACCCAGCCAAAACTGCAAAAAAAAAAAAAAAAAGAAAGAAATCCCTAACTTCAAATTAAAATTCAAGTAAAATGTGTTACTTTTACCCTAAAAAGAAAAAAATCACTATGGCAGTATGTCTGCCATTATGCCTGTACTTTAGAATAAAAAAGATAATTTTGAAAGTTGCCTCTCTGCTCCATTTTTTGAAACTTCTACAAACCAGCATGCAATTTGAAGCTTCAAACATTTCAGATCAGACCTAAAAATTCTCATAATTATAAATTACAAGGATACATTTTTAAATGGAACAGTACTGCAGAAAGTAATAGTGTTTATCTTTTGCCATAAAAATCTGTCATCCCTCTCATGGGCATGCATGCTCTATGCACTGAGGACTAACAAAATATTGCTACTTGTTAAATAAAACAGAAGTTTTCCATGAGGCTAAGTAGTCTTTTCCCTTTCATTCCTGAAGATAATGAGATTCTCAATTCACATCTGATCCAAAATTTCTAAAAGGGAAATTATTATATCATTTAGGATTAACTCTGAGATTAATGATTATGTTTACTGAATTGCATTCATTACACTTGAGGGATTTTCTTTCCCTCCTTTCCTAAGATAACAAGGTTATCTTGGGAAAAGTAAGGAAAAAAATGTGAATTACAGTCATTCCAGATTTCTTATTTTTCCAGACTTCTTGCAATTGACATATAGCAGATGGAAGTATTTTATGAATTTATGGCCTTCCTTTTGGGAAACTGGTGCAGCTATCAGCCTATATTCAGCTGAATTATGTGTGAACTTGCAGGGAATATATTTTTAAGGATAATTCTAAGAGCTTTTCAGAATCTATCTTGAGGAAAAACATCTTTAAGTTGGATCTTTAACAGGAAACAGATAGCAATCTACAATTGAATTTACTAATTTCCTCATTAACCTAAGTGGAAACTAAATTCATTTGTACCATATTTATTTCCCTTCTTCCTTGTAAATATTATGTCACTAAAATTAGGGAGGGAATTGGAGAGCAGAGAGAAATAGGGAAAAGAAAGAATAAAACTCTTTTAGTGATGATATTACATTGACAATGAAAGACACACTAGTCTGGTAGAAAATTTCTTGAGTTATTTTGAATATCAGTGACCTGAGTTACTTTAAGCATTAATGAGAAAATAACAGAATCACTTTGATATACTTCTTACCTGTTTATAAACAAGTTTTTGTTGATAAGATACACAAGTATCTGCCGTTCCTGAACATTCACAGGACTTGGAATTCTGTTCAAAATTATTTCCCCAATCAGCAGCTCCACTGACCAAACCACAGCATTTAAACTAAAGGAGAGGTAGAAAAAAAAAA